ATGGGGTCTGCAGGCAGGGGGCCCCCCCAGCTGCTCCCCAAAGAGCCCTTGACAGCCAGGCCCCAGAGCCCGATGGCCAGGGCCAGCAGGCCGAGCAGAGAGAAGAGGAAGTTGGACAGAAAGATCAGGCACTGGAGGCAGCTGCTTCTCAGCGGGAGGGAGGGGGCCCGGCCTCCCCCCAGGCCTGCCCTGCAGGCCCGTCCCTCCTGGAGCGCTGGGCCCAGGCAGCTGGCAGGGAGGGGTGGCTCCTGGCCCCCAGCATCCTGCAGAGGGAGGAGGGCCAGGGGTCAGAGCCTCAGGGCGAGGGAGCGGTCAGTGGAGGGGGCATTTCGGAGACCCTAGACAGCCAGGGACATGAGCATGGGGAAGGGGCGCCGGGGATGTGAGGGGGCTGAGGAGTCCGGTGTTGGAGGCGGGTGGGGAGGACGTGAGGGAGGCCCGAGGCCCCGTGGGCACCATCTCCTGGGTCTGTGCTCTCCTGGGGGCATGGATGCACCCCGAGCTGGGTCAAATGCAAGGGCAAAGCTGGGCCACACCCCAGAATCCAAACGGGGTGCGGGGTGAGGTGAACAGGCCACCCCAATCCTAGCAGCTCCTACGGGCCTTGGGCCTGGGGACATCTCCAACCGGGGGAGGCCGCCAGGGCACTGACTCACCTGGGACAGCAGGGGGCTCTTCTCGCCCTCCTCCATCCGCCCCTCCCCCCAGGACAGGTGCGCTGGTCTCTGCGGCCTCTCTGGCGGGGACACAGACGCGGGGCCGGTGCTGTCCTGTGCCCACCACTCTGGGAGCCGGGAGCTCAGGGCCGGGTGAGCCAATGCCCCGTCACGAGGGGATCATGTGAGGAATCACAGTTTAGGGCCCAGGACCGCCCCTGCTTGTCCAGACGCAGCCGCCTTTCTTCCTGAGCCAGTTCTCAGCCTCGCTCTGTGGGCACCAAGGGGTGGGCTGCCCCATGGCCATCACTGTGGGGCTCCAGTGTGGGCCTCAGCCTGGCAGCGTCCACGGCTGCTCCCCCTGCTCCCCCAGGGACATGGAGCCCTGTGACCTGGCACAGTGACCTCTCAGGCCACTCGCCCACGGCTAAATGCCAGTTCATCCCCATTCATTCCCTGTAAATACGAGCCAGGCCACGTCCTTCCTGGCTACGAGGTACCTGGGATCTGAGCTTCCAAGGGGTAGGACTGCCCCGGCCGGTGTGGCTCAGGGGACAGAGCGTCAGCCTGCGGACTGAAGGGTCCCAGGTTCGATTCTGGCCAAGGGCACATGCCTAGGTTGTGGGCTCCATCCCCAGTGGAGGGCGTGCAGGAGGCAGCTGATCAATATTCTCTCTCATCATTGATGTTTCTCTCTCTCCCTTCCTCTCTGAAATCAATAAAGAAAATAAAGAAATACTAGGTGTACCGATTAATAATGCAGATTTTTTCAATAGATGGAGTTACACATATGTTGATATATATGCGATTTGATATGTATACTATGTTGTTGTATTGCTCCTTCAGATGACCGCTTGTTCCGATCGATGGCACACGCACTTCCTGAGCAGCACTTCAAAACGTATGAAGAAGTGGAAAATTGGGTCTCTGAATGGTCTGCCTCAAAACAAGAAAAGTTCTTTTGGGCCGGTATCCACAAATTACCTAAAAGATGGGGGAAATGTGTAGCTAGCGATGGACATTACTTTGAATAAAGCACTTTCGATGTTTCTCTTGAAATTATCGTGTTTTCTTTGATTACAAAATCCACATTATTAACTGGTTAATAATGTGGATTAACTATTAACCAGTTATAGTGTGGTTTAATTATTAACTGGTTAATAATGCAGATTAACTATTAACCAGTTAATGGGGGTTGACTATTAACCGGTTAATAATGCATATTAACTAGTAACCATTAATAATGTGGATTAATTAGTAACTGGTTAACAATACGGATTAACTCGTAACTGGTTAAAATGCAGGTTAATAATTAACCAGTTAGTAGTGCAGATTAACTATTAACCATTAATAATGTGGATTGACTATTAACCGGTTAATAATGCAGATTTTGTAATCCAAAGAAAACACGATAATTTCAAGAGAAACATCGAAAGTGCTTTATTCAAAGTAATGTCCATCGCTAGCTACACATTTTCCCCATCTTTCAGGTAATTTGTGGGTACCGTCCCAAAAGAACTTTTCTTGTTTTGAGGCAGACCATTCAGAGACCCAATTTTCCACTTCTTCATACGTTTTGAAGTGCTGCTCAGGAAGTGCGTGTGCCATCGGTCGGAACAAGTGGTCATCTGAAGGAGCAATACAACAACATAGCATACATATCAAATCGCATATATATCAACATATGTGTAACTCCATCTAGTGAAAAAAAATCCGCATTATTAACCGGTATACCTAGTACGTATTAAAAAAAACAACAAACAAGCAAACAAACAAAAAACCCCCTAGGGGTAGGACTTGTCATGGTGACCATTGTGCCCAGTGCCTAATACGCCCTAAGGAAAATCAGTGTAGTCCTGGGCGGTGTGGCTCAGTTGTTTGGATTGTTGTCCC